GTGGGTCCCACCACAGCCCGTGCACTCATGTTTAAAGCGGCAGGCCGCCACCCACTTGCACTGACCTTCATTGAACAACCAGCATAAGCCCTTCTGCAAGGCGGCCGACGAGGCGGACTGTCCCTTTGCGTCAGCCGCGTGCTGAAAGGGCTGCGCCTTCTGCGCCATCATCAGCTTCATCCACAGGGGCAGGTCCGTTTGGTCCCACCTCATCCCCGGATTGGCTGCCAAGCGCTGCCGGAACTGCTCATCGTACCGCCACCATGCCAGCCCGCCATAGGTGCGATACGCTTCCCAGATCCCGTCTAAGTAACAGAACAGGGAAGAGCAAGAACTCGGCGATTTTTCCCCTATCACACTGGCCAGGACGCAGAACGCCCTCAGCCAGTTCCCGAAGGACTTCGGTATCTTCCGATACCGCTTCCGCTTTTCCTCCTCCTCCTTCTTTTTGTCTTTCTTATCCTCCTCCTTGAGGTCAATGAAGTCCTCCAGAGGAAGAAGAAGGGAGAATATCTCACAGAACTCCCCCTTCCAAATTTTCTCTTTCACCTCCTGCTTGAGGTGTACCCCCAGCGGGCCCGCGAATGACACGTAAGCAAGCTGCCTAGCCGCGTCCGGCACTCCCCCAGATAATTCCGCCCGCTCACTCCCCGCCTCCCCTGGGCTGGACTCCGCACCCGCCTCCCCGCCAGGCGCAGTTACCACGGGAGCCCCGCTAACATTCCCCGCATCGCTGGACCCTTGCGTCCATACCCGACCTACGTCGCCCGAAGTACCACCCCCCGCCCCCAATGAGTGGAGCAGTGACTGTAGTGTCTGTACTAGTGCATCGGACCCTAGGGCCCCTCTGGACTCACCGGCCAAGCCCCTCGATCCGTCCGTACCCGGGGCTGCGTTGTCAACTGCTGCATGACCTGGATGCGCAACATCCGCCGACGTCCCGCCAACCAGGGAGCCCACCTGGTGCCTCGATAACGTGGAAGATGAGCGGCTCGGAGATCTGAAATGAGGAGAAGACATCCTGGGCAGGGGGTAGTGCTCCCCGCCCCCCCTCCCGTCCCGACCCAGGGAGCGCCTGCTTGCCACCAAGGCTTCCCGCCGTGTGCCACTCTGCCGCTGCCCCCCAGAAGCCCGTTCCACCCCGCCCCGAGGACTCCGACTCCTACCTTCAACCCTCGCTGCCCTCCCCGGTCGTCTCCGCCCCAAGGACCCTGACCTAGCCTCCACTGAACTGCCCGATGGGGACCGCCTGCGCCGAGCCCCCTCCCCCCGTGCCCTGAGGGACCCAGCGTCCCTCACAGGCGAGGAACTAACACTGCTAGACCCCGACCCGGAGCTGTCACCAGGCCCACCACCCTCCAGCCCACTAGACCCGGCCCCCCCCGCCCCTTTGCCCCTGTGCCCACGGGAGTGGCCCCCCAGCTCCCCCCGACTCCTATGCTCCACCGCCCGCTGACTGGCCCCATCCCTACCAACCCTAACACCTGCCTCCCCCACCCGACCAGCAGAGCCCCCCTGTCCCCCCCTCTCCGTGGCTACCCTGCACCCCTCCAGAAGGTCCCCCCCCAGACACCCGGGCCCCACTACTCCCCCCCCTAACCGCAGGCACACTACCCCCAGGCCGTGCCCCCATGCTGACCCCCACGCCAAGGGGGCCCCCAAGGGGGCCCCCTGCACTTGCCTGTCTCGTCCTGGGCCCGGTCAGCGCCATCCCGGCCCGGTCTCCTCTGTCCGCCGCTCCCACCTCCGTGTGAGTGCGCCCGGCCCGCCTGCCCGACTCCCGGCAGGGCCGCCGCACCGCCGGCGTGTCCGTTGGTCCCGGCGCCGCCCCGACCGGTCCAGGGGGCGCGCCGTCCTCAGCCAGGGCCGCAGCACGCCGAGAGCCCGCCCGCCGAGGCCCCAGTCGGCCGCTGGGAGGCCCTCGAGCGCGGCCTCCAGGCCTGCGGGGCCACCTCACCGCTCTGGGAGTCACGGGCCCCGCGCCCGGACTCAAACGCCGTGGGGGCCTCCTGGCTCGTGCCGGGCGACCGCCTCCTCCGTCTGCCGCTGCCAGGAGAGGCCCCAGGTGCACCCTCGCCCAGCCTGGTCCTTGTTGCCGCGCCGCCGTCCGAATCCCCTCCAGGAGCTGCTCCACTTCATCCATGGCCCTGCAGAGGAGACAAAAAAGGAAAAAACCCTACCTAGCAGGTCTGTGAGTACCCAGAGGCAACCACAAACACAGCTAGACAGACGATTAATGTGCACATTTTAAAATGGCTGCCTATTAAATAGCCAGCCCCCATCCCATAATCCCACAGTCCTGCCCGGTCCCTCCTATGCCCGCCTCCTAACCCCTGTCAAGGCCCTTTTCCGCTAAGCTGCGCTCTGGCTACATGGTGCTACAATACAGAGAACTGGGCATAATACACAGAGCTGGGCATAATACAGAGATAATCATACAATACAGAGAGCTGGGCATAATACAGAGATAATCATACAATATAGAGAGCTGAGGATAATACAGAGATGCTCGTACAATAAAACAACCTGGGCATAACACACAGATAACTAGAAAACACAGAGAAAAAAATAGAGATATAATACACAGAACTGGGTAGACTACTGAGATAACCATACAGCAAGTAGAGCTGACTGGCCCCATCCCTACCAACCCTAACACCTGCCTCCCCCACCCGACCAGCAGAGCCCCCCCCCGTCCCCTCCTCTCCGTGGCTACCCTGCACCCCTCCAGAAGGTCCCCCCCCAGACACCCGGGCCCCACTACTCCCCCCCTAACCGCAGGCACACTACCCCCAGGCCGTCCCCTTGGCGTGGGGGTCAGCATGGGGGCACGGCCTGGGGGTAGTGTGCCTGCGGTTAGGGGGGGGAGTAGTGGGGCCCGGGTGTCTGGGGGGGGACCTTCTGGAGGGGTGCAGGGTAGCCACGGAGAGGGGGGGACAGGGGGGCTCTGCTGGTCGGGTGGGGGAGTAAAATATAAAGAATTAACACCCAGAGCTGGGCACAATAAGGAGATACCATAACTATCCCACACAGCCAGGATCACTGTGATGGATTACACAGAGCTGCAATACAGAGATACCCACACAGTACATGTCTCTGTATAATGCTCCCGCTCTCTCTATGTCTATCTTCCTAGCCCTCTCTTAGCTCTCCCTTAAATTAGCTTAACTCATCTTCAGTAAGTCTCCTGCTGTAGTAACTTTCTATTAAATATTGCTGCTGTCAGAGGCGTAACTAGAAATCACCGGGCCCGGTGCAAAAATTGTCCATGCCCTCACTCCCCCATATGTCTTATCCCCCTCCCTCCCCATGCATCTCATTCACTCCCCTCCCTCCCCCCAGCACTTCCATGCTTATAACCTCCCCGGCCCCTCCATGTATCTTATTCCTACCTAGCCCCTCCATGTGTCTCATCCCGTCTCATCCCCCACCCATCCTTGCAGGGCCGCCGTCAGGGGGGTGACAACCATGATGGTTATCAGGGGCTCGTCGGTCCTGTGGCCCCACGTGTAGCCCATCTGGTGGCCCAAGCAATTAGGGCCACCCGATAGGCCCTATATCTTCAGGGGCCCGTTCAGCGCTGCAGCCGTATAATAGCGCAACCAGCCCCTTTAAAAAAAATTTGTTGGCAAGTAGTGCTGGGAGGAAGTGACGGCGGGTGAGGGAGGAGAAACAGGTCACAAGGAGGGGAGAGCCAGCCGACTCTCATCAGCCACAGCCACCCTCCTGCAAAGAAAAGGTAAGAAATAGGAGGGTGGCTGAAAAATGAGCTATGTATGTCAGTATGTATGTGTCTGTATTTATGTGTATATATTTCAGTATGTATGTATGTATGTGTGTGTATGTCAGTATATATTTTTGTGTGTGTGTGTGTATGTATGTCCTTATGTGTGTGTGTGTCTGTATGTATTCTAGTATGTGTCTGTATATGTCAGTGTGTCTGTTTCAGTATGTGTGTGTCAGTATGTATGCCTGTATGTGTGTATGTCTGTTTCAGTATGTGTGTGTCAGTGTGTGTGTGTATCTGTGTCCTTTTTTGTATCAGTGCGTGTGTTTGTGTCTGTATTCCTGTGGGCGGGATTTGAAGGTTGGCCCTGGGGTGGGATTTGGAGGGTGGGCTTGGAGGCTGGCCACCGGGGGCCCAGACCTTGAGCTGTGTATTGGGCCCCAAAATTTCTGATGGCGGCCCTTCCTCCATGTTTCTCTTTTCCCCACCCCTCCATGTTTCTCATTGCCACCCCAGCCCAATCCATGTGTCTCTCCCCCCTTTACTTCTGTACCTGTTCACTTCTCTGAGTGAGCACTTCCTCTTAAACATAGTCCATTCGGCCATGCTACACACAGCGGCAGGAGGGGAGCAGCACAGCGAGGGCTCCCCTTCTGCCGTTAAAGGACCACTATAGTGCCAGGAAAACATACTCGTTTTCCTGGCACTATAGTGCCCTGAGGGTGCCCTCACCCTCAGGGTCCCCCTCCCGCCCGGCTCTGGAAGGGGGAAAGGGGTTAAAACTTACCTTTTTCCAGCGCTGGGCGGAGAGCTCTCCTCCTCTGATCCTCCTTCTCTCCTCCCCGTCGGCTGAATGCGCACGCGCGGCAAGAGCTGCGCGCGCATTCAGCCGGTCACATAGGAAAGCATTCATAATGCTTTCCTATTGACGCTGGCGTGCTCTCACTGTGAAAATCACAGTGAGAAGCACGCAAGCGCCTTAGCGGCTGTCAATGAGACAGCCACTAGAGGATTAGGGGGAAGGCTTATTCATTAGCAGTTTCTCTGAGCTATGTTTATAAAAGAATGGGTTAACCCTTGGACCTGGCACCCAGACCACTTCATTAAGCTAAGTGGTCTGGGTGCCTAGAGTGGAGAAAGAGGATCTTAGTTTTGTTTTTTTTAAATACTGCAGATATTCTTTTCCTACATAAGAACTAATGGGGCGCTTCCCCACTTGTCCCTAGGGGAAAGCCTCAACTGGTACATATGATAGAACAATAGCCCTTTCCTTCTTCTCTCCAGTCTGCTGCAGGCATAACATTAAAAAAATAGGGTTTTGCCATGTCATAGTGATGAATTGCAAAGGAATTTGACCATTTCATTCTTGTTCAGTAATCTTCATTTTTATGATGGAGACTGCACACCTACTACTTACCTACAGGATTATTTCTTGTTTTAGGACACGACTGTATGGTTTATTCCCCCCTTTTAACCTGCCATTTTTCATAAATCTACGTTCTTTGTTGATTAAAGTAGATTTCTCCTAATTGTTCAGTAAAATGACATTAGGTGGGTTAGACACCTACTTTCGGCTCAAATCTAAAATGTGCGTGTTCTGGCATTTTAAATGTCTATTTTATAAAAAATAAAAATAATAATAATAATTGTGTGTGTGTGTGTGTATATATATAAAAGAAAAGAAACCAAGAGGGCTGCACTCACCTGAATATGCATACATTATAGGGTGCTGCTGGGACCAAAATATACAAAATACAGAATCCAGCGCACTCACTTATTCACTAAACAATGATTTCAAATCTTAGAGATTGTAATAGTTTTATTTAAAAACACCTCTCCTGGGCAAAAAATGAGGGGGGTTTAGTTACATTATAGGATCATCCATTGCATAAGCCTGCCAACTACGTCAAAGTACCCCATATTCGGCAGGTCCTATCCTACATTAGCAGCCTAATGCTTGCTCTTATGAGATGAATCCACTTACTTGGAAAATACTTCCTTACGTAGGGAAGTATTTCCCAAGTAAGTGGATTAATCTCATAAGAGCAAGCATTAGGCTGCTAATGTAGGATAGGACCTGCCGAATATGGGGTACTTTGACGTAGTTGGCAGGCTTATGCAATGGATGATCATATAATGTAACTAAACCCCCATCATTTTTTGCCTAGGCGAGGTGTTTTTAAATAAAACTATTACAATCTCTAAGATTTGAAATCATTGTTTAGTGAATAAGCGAGTGCGCTGGATTCTGTATTATATATATATATATATATGTACATTTTAAACATGCCAATGTTTCTCTCTCTCTCTTTCTCAATATATTTGGTATATTGTATGACAATCCCACATAAGGACACTGAGTTTGGGAGCTATTTACTATTATTATCTTCATTATTTAGCCATATAGATGAGTGCAGTTTTCTTTCCATTCACAGACGTGGCGTGCACATCTGTGGCACAATCGGTAGTTGTGCTGGTACTTTCTGGTTGCCGGGTGCTCTTGTGCATCACTTCGGCCAAGGGCATCTGGGACTTCATACATGGTTTCTGAGATTCTGTTGCTGCCGATTTATAAATACTTTGTGGGGGTGACACAGTATATTGTTTTTAGTTTATCTTGACATTGGAGAAAAATTACACTGATCATTTAATTTCTAAAATGTTTAAAACGAAATATCCACAATTGTATGGATTGCCTGCCAGGGAGCCAGTTACTGTAATTTTTTTCCCCAATTTTTCTTTTATTGCGACATATTAGTTTACACAGAAGAAAAAGTGGTAAGTCAGAATGTCAGCTTGACAAAAAGAGAGTAATATACAGATTTAAACATACAACATTCTGAGCATCTCTTTTTTGTTTTGTTTTTTGTATGTGGAACAAATGCTAAGTGAACATATTTATATCCACTGCAATCTAGAGAGACATGTCTAAGTTAAGAAGAACAAATATGCTACATGGCAAAAACAAAAGATGTAAGGTAGACATGAAAGCTGTAGCCAAAATCGGTTTAATATAATATAAGTAACGTTGCATAGTAAAGAGTGCAAAACAAAATAAACCATAAGAACTAAAGAAAAGTAAAACATCCTAGTGAGTTACATGTGGCGGCTCAGATAGTGGGGATAGGTAAGATGGTGCCCAGTGACAGCAGCAAAGTGTCCGGTATAGACTGGTGGGGCACGGAGTCCGAGAAAAGCACGGTCAACCAATTCCGACACTTGGCATAATGGAAATGAGGGCATGGAAGTAGTAGCAGGTGGAGGCACAACAAGGGCAAAAAGAGGTCCCCCTCCAGCCCCAGGCTTGTGTGAAGGTCAGCATCTGTGGGCCACAAACTCGGAGACTACGGGAGTCCAGGTCTTTGCCATAATGGGCACAACAGAAGGCCCAGATGTTCTGCCGCTGCCTAGGTAGGCGAACTGCACAGGTAGTTGGTGCAGCAATAAAGGCTGTGCCTGAGAGGGGCGTCTCTGGTGCCCCACCACCTCCTTCTCTGTGGCACCCAGACGCACTGGAATAACTTGTCCAGTTGTTAAAATAGGAGACGGTGTTCTCCATAAAGCTGTGTAATCACATACACCCCGAGGGAGGCTTGTCCGCCATATTGTTTGGGCCGCAATGTGCCAAGTGGGGACTGTGCAGGTTATCCAGAACTGGGTGAGGCATGTGTATCGGGTCAATGGGGACCGGGATAATCCCCGCCTCTCCATAGAAGGGGGGGGTTAGCGGGGCTGCAGTCAAGCTGAGCAGTCCAGTCACAGGGATGTTGGTGTGTTTGATACAAAAAGAAATGCGAAGCAGACGGAAAGTCAGCGAAAAGGCAAACTCTAGTACTCCTGGTGATGCAACTACAAACTCCCAAATATGCTTAGTGTCTGGCTGAATATGGGGTTTCACATACACAGATGCTGGTATTACCTACATCTCCCACTCCCATAATACATTAGCCCATGTGAATTACTAAATAAGCAATGCACTAATGTTAATTAAAGTTTAATACGAGTGGGTGTAAGTAGGATGTGTGTATGTATATATATATATATATATATATGTGTACATATTTAAACATGCCAATGTTTCTGCTCTCTCTCTCTGTACACTCAGCAAGTCAATCCATGGACACTGAGTTTGGGAGCTAGGGTTATTATTTTCATGTATTAGGCTGGCCAGGCCATCTAAAATGTGCAGATGCCGCAGTTTTCTTTCCATTCACAGGTGGGACGATGCATCATCTGTGGCACAATCGGTAGTTGTGCTGGTACTTTTACTGGCCATGCCGGGTGCTCTTGTGCAAAAATTCACTTCGCAGCCTGGAAATAACTTTCCAGTCTTGTGAATATATGTAGGCCTTGGAGACGGTTATGGGATCTTCATTTAAATAGTCAGCATGCCATGCACCTGCACATCTGTGGCATCACTGCACATTTTAGAGTTGCACCCCGGCAGAGGTGTCTTGAGTAATACAGATTTAAACATACACATTCTGCATCTCTTTTTGTTTTTTTTTTGTATGTGGAACAAATGCTAAGTGAACATATTTATATCCACTGCAATCTAGAGAGACATGTCTAAGTTAAGAAGAACAAATATGCTACATGGCAAAAACAAAAGATGTAAGGTAGACATGAAAGCTGTAGCCAAAATCTGTTTAATATAATATAAGTAACGTTGCATAGTAAAGAGTGCAAACAAAATAAACCATAAGAACTAAAGAAAAGTAAAACATCCTAGTGAGTTACATGTGGCGGCTCAGATAGTGGGGATAGGTAAGATGGTGCCCAGTGACAGCAGCAAAGTGTCCGGTATAGACTGGTGGGGCACGAAGTCCGAGAAAAGCACGGTCAACCAATTCCGACACTTGGCATAATGGAAATGAGGGCATGAAAGTAGTAGCAGGTGGAGGCACAACAAGGGCAAAAAGAGGTCCCCCTCCAGCCCCAGGCTTGTGTGAAGGTCAGCATCTGTGGGCCACAAACTCGGAGACTACGGGAGTCCAGGTCTTTGCCATAATGGGCACAACAGAAGGCCCAGATGTTCTGCCGCTGCCTAGGTAGGCGAACTGCACAGGTAGTTGGTGCAGCAATAAAGGCTGTGCCTGAGAGGGGCGTCTCTGGTGCCCCACCACCTCCTTCTCTGTGGCACCCAGACGCACTGGAATAACTTGTCCAGTCGTTAAAATAGGAGACGGTGTTCTCCATAAAGCTGTGTAATCACATACACCCCGAGGGAGGCTTGTCCGCCATATTGTTTGGGCCGCAATGTGCCAAGTGGGGACTGTGCAGGTTATCCAGAACTGGGTGAGGCATGTGTATTGGGTCAATGGGGACCGGGATAATCCCCGCCTCTCCATAGAAGGGGGGGTTAGCGGGGCTGCAGTCGTGTGGCGTCAAGCTGAGCAGTCCAGTCACAGGGATGTTGGTGTGTTTGATACAAAAATAAATGCGAAGCAGACGGAAAGTCAGCGAAAAGGCAAACTCTAGTACTCCTGGTGATGCAACTACAAACTCCCAAATATGCTTAGTGTCTGGCTGAATTCACTGGGGTTTCACATACACAGATGCTGGTATTACCTACATCTCCCACTCCCATAATACATTAGCCCATGTGAATTACTAAATAAGCAATGCACTAATGTTAATTAAAGTTTAATACGCCCACACACCCGTGGGTGTAAGTAGGATGTGTGTATATATATATATATATATATATATATCGCAATGTAATTATAGTATCACACAGATATAAAACATATGCATTTGCTCACGGTTTCTGAGTAAGGATGATATAAATGGACAACTACTTATAATTTATCCATTTTGTGTGTTAATAACCTTTTGGTTTGATATCATCTTGGTAACCTTGAAAAGCACAGTGCATTATTCACCCCCCGATCACCCCCGAAAAAGATAAAAAAATATAGATTATTTATTTATAATTTTATAGCCAGCATATCATTATATAGCCAGTGTGCTTTCCTTCCTTAGATGAGGTCACTCAGAATGGATAAATGGATCAAGTAAAAGTGGTTGTGATATTATAATTTTGTGAAATGATGCACATTTGTGTAATTGTTAAATTGTCCATATAATTTTTTTTCCTTTTTATAACTTAACAAAATTATAAACGCAACACTTTTGTTTTTGCCCCCATTTTTAATGAGCTGAACTCAAATATCTAAGACTTTTTCTATGTACATATTTTTCTCAAATATTGTTCACAAATCTGTCTAAATCTGTGTTAGTGAGCACTTCTCCTTTGCCGAGATAATCCATCCACCTCACAGGTGGAGCATATCAAGATGCTGATTACACAGAATGATTAATGCACAGGTGTACCTTAGGCTGGCCACAATAAAAGGCCACTCTAAAATGTGCAGTTTTACTGTATTGGGGAATCCGGGGGGGTCCAAAAACCAGTCAGTATCTGGTGTGACCACCATTTGCCTCACGCAACAATGCACCTGTGTTCGTTGTGCAAAACATACGCCCATACCATAACCCCACCGCCAGCATGGGACACTCGATTCACAACGTTGACATCAGCAAACCACTCACCCACACGATGCCATACACGCTGTCTGCCAACTGCCCT